TTCCTCCCACTGCTCTATTTCTCTTTCAAAATTACCTCATGGTTCTTCCTCCTTCTTTGGCTCCCTCCTTTTTTTACATACTGAGTTTGGGAACTTTAGCAAAGATCCCCTACTTAAAAAAGCCAAAAACCAATGAGCAAGTTTTGGGGGAACCATTCTTCAGGGCAATTCCCAGTGTGATATGATATGCTTCCAGTTCTTTAATCCTCTTTTTTTTTTTTTTAAGGTGCTTTTTATGTTGGTTTTATTTGTCTAATAGATGCACAAGGGCAAAGTCTTTTGCTTAGGTTTCTTTTGTGAGTCTTTTTTTTAAATGGAAGCTTAAGATCTTGTAGGAGTTAATGGCACTTGAACAGGTAAGTGTCGTACCAGCCACAGGCATGTGGATTTTTTCAGGGTGTTTTTAAGTCTTCACTGCTAATGTAGAAGATATAGCTAAATTCTTATTTTTAATTCATTATTTTCTTTAATATCACCAGACTTCTCAAGCCTGGTGCCCTGTAAGGTGGTTGCTTGTTAAATGCTGGCTAGCTCTGCCATGTTCTTGCTGTGTTCTTCAAGGTCCATGGCATGGGTAGTGTTGGATCTGTTCTCCTGGTGTGACCAGATGAGAGAGAACAGAGATCAAAAATAGGGGCGTGATCTGAGCAGCTGTTTCTGTACCAGGATGGAGAGACAGGCACATGGATAGAGCTGGAAGTTATGAGGAAATGACTAAGTGAAATGTAGAGGAAATGCAAAGTGCAGTGGAAATATTAGTGCAAGTAAGCACTTTCAACTGGAGCCTGCACCCAGCCCTGCTGGAAAGGTGCATCCTGTTGTATGAGCAGATTGTTACCAGTGGGAATATTGTATTTTGGACTGCACAGCTTTTACAGGCATGTGAAAATAAAACTTTATCCTTCTGTTGTGTATTTGCATCTTTTTCTGTATCTCTGTGGGTTTTCTTTTTTGAGATTGGGTAAATTCTGTAGGAGGAACAGACCCCTTTCCTTAGTACCTTTGTGCACGCTGCTCTCCTAACCTGAGAGCGACGCTGGCTTTTGAAGGCTGCGATTCAGTCGAGTTGGGTGGGAATAGAACTTGGATATCTTGCTTTTGGATAATGTGGGCACGTAATTTTTCTGTAACCTTAGGCAAATATTTTGGTTTGGAGGGGAATCACTGTAACTGGGAGGTTACTGGTCCCATTTAAGGTGTGTGAATGGCAAGTGTCACAGAAACATTAACTGAAACTTCATGGTGTTAACTAGAACAAACAATATTGTTAAAGTTGTTTCAGATCCTTATATAAAGTACTGTTTGTTACAGTGACTTCTTCAAAGCACTTCTGTTGAAGCACAGTCAGAAGTTGTCAATAGTTTTGAAACTTGTACGTTAAACTCTAACGTGACAAAAGAGCTTAATTTTTCTTGTATGTCAAATAATATTTCCTACACATCAGAATTTCTAGTTTGAAATGGCAAACAGTGTTGTAAATGTGCAGTTATTTTAACTGTCACTTACAAAAACCTTCAGTGCTAGATAATGATAGGAAGTTAAAGTTTAGATTGTAATTTTTGCCTCCTATTCTTTCCATTCCCAAACACAGGACGTCTGATGAACCTTTTGGACCTTGGTACCAGAGACCATTCTCCTCTCTTCATTAAATCATGCACTGTCCAGCTGTGAAACATTCTGACATTTGTTTTTACTAACAGAAAACATTTTCAAATATTGGTAAGTTCTTAACATTTAAAGATATTTTTGTAACGTGGTAAGAGAAAGAGTAGCTGGAGATAACACTGTCATGAGGACTTGCAGTCCTTTATAAAATTTGACTTGCCATTGATAACAAAGGCTGTTTAGAAATCTGACCCAGGTGAAAAAGTTGAAGAAACCCCTCTGGCTGTTCTGCTCCTGCCCTGGGGTAGAGGTGCCTCCATTCATCATGGTCACTTGGTGCTCTTCTCTTCGATTAGATGCCAAGCTCAAAGCAAGAAGTAAAAATGCAGAGCAGTGCCAAACAGTGGAGGTCTCGGCTTTACCTTTCTTACCAGACTATTCTGGCTCATTTAGTGACTGTGGGGCAGGTGTGCAAATGAGTCTCAACAGTAACAGCCCTAAGCCTGAGTGAAAATACGTATAACTTCATTGCTTTGCTAACAAAGTGATCTCCCACATGTCTCTGGCTCCCTCACTCCTCTACTTTTATTTTTTTTAAGTGTCTAAATAAGAGGACTAAAAAAAGCTAGCCAAAACAATTGCTATGGAGAAGCAATCAGAATTAGAGAAAAGCAAGACTTGGCAGTCTGAAATAGAAATTGAGAACAAAGTCAATGGTATTTGCTTCAATTGGGTCATATTTGTTTTCAAGATTTTCACAGTTCTGCTTGTTGCCATAAGAATGCTTTAGGGTTTTCCTTATTACTTCATTTCTTGGTTAGATCTGTTATTTCACCTTTTATAATGACATCAGTTTGTACTGGAAAAGCTTTCTTAATTATTACCTTCTGATATTTTCTTTTACAATCTGTTACTACAGAAGGTCAGTCTGGAAACCAACAGCATCAGCTTATAGCTTATTTTCACAGAGAGAGCTAATCTGTATATTGAAGATCTCAGAAATACATGGCAAATATATCCTGTATGATATATTTGATTTATGTAAGAGCAGTATATAAACAGGCTAAAACTTTGAATAAAGCGTAGCCAGAAGTTTTAGTTGAAGTTAAATGTTGCAAGTGTAGTGAATATGCTACTCTGAAGAAAATAAAAGTCTGGTTTGTATAAGAAAAACAGGTGTACAAGGTGAATAGTTCTAGTGGATGTGTCCTCAGAGACAAAATACCTTTGTGGAGATGAACCATCCCTATTCTTTCTACCTGGTAATCAGAAATGTTAATATTTTACCTGAGAAGTCTATATGTGAAGGTGTCTTATATACTGACTATATGTACTATGTATATTTTACACAGAATTCTCAAAATCTTGGGATTTAGTCTCTTAACATCGAATGGCATCAGCTGGTAGAAACTGGCCATTAAATAGAGGAAATTATCTTGAATATTCCATTGCAAACTTGATTTTGATTTTTTTTTTTTCCAGGAGTTGCATTGGTAGCTCTTTAACCTCAGTGTTTTATAGGTCAGATAAGGTGAATTAGTGTCCTTCAGGCCACAAACGTCTCTTTAAAAAGTCATTAAAGTGAGAATGTTTTGAAAAGCTACCAAACAGGAAACACTGTTGTTTCAAGGATCTGTTTGAAGTTTTACTATCTAAAATTAGACTTTTTTTTTCCCCCCCCATACTTTAAGAAGTAATTCTTGCTTCTGTGATTGTAAAAAGGTAGCCAGGCTGTAACTACCTGCAGTGGATTGATACGCTTTGAGTTAACGTTTTTTGGGGTTCGTTTGGTCTTAAATAGGAATATTACAACTGTGAGTGTGGAAGGACTTAAAGATGTAGCAGTGTTGTTCAGTAATCTTGTAGTTTACAGCTAATAACTTCTGGTTTTGTTTTTTATGGTAGTTCTGTCTTCCTCCTACAAGAGTTCACAGCGGTGCTGTCAGAAGGTCGCAGAACAGTGCACACTACCTGTGCTGCCCTAGGGCTGTTGATGTCCTCAACTGGTGGAGGAGAAACGCTAGACCTGGAACCCAGTTTGTTACTGGTAAGAAGTAATTGTCTTGGATTTTAATTTATTTATTTATTTTTTAATATTAAAGGTTGCATGCTTTCTCTACCAGAATCATTCAATCAGCTCTTCATTGCTTATTGCTTTAAGAACATTAGAGAAAAGTGCACATTTGTGGTGGGTTTTGTATTTTTTTTCCCTCCTATTTTTAACTTTACAATTTCTAAATTTCTAATTTCTAATTGCCCTCCTTCCAAAATGTGGAGGCTGACAGTTTTCCCTGAGCTTTCATTTTCAGGCCTGGTTTTCTCTGGAAATTTTTTATGTGCTGTCAGAGCTAATGAAGGTTCATAAATGGATTTTTCTAAGACACCTTCAGAAATCCCATCTTTTGGTTGCACTTTTGTAGTGTCCAGCTTCTGTGCGCTATAGTTGACCCCATAACTCTGGGTAGATGGTTTGAAAGGTCAAAAGCCAAAGCCAAGTCTCTGGTTTGAAGTTCTGGAGTAGAGTGTGAAATGTTTAATGAAAGCTTCTGTGTTATTTTATGTATTGGAGTTAGATTTTACTTGTGGTTTGTATTTGGATTGCAGAAACCAAGCTTTGATGATATGAATGACTAGAAGCTCGTAGTGTTTTACATGTCCTTATTCTTTTTGCAGAAACGGGCTTTTTAAAATTCCTAATTGCATTCAGATCTATATATTTTCTTGGTAGGAGCAATTTTAAACTGATGATGTCTTAAATATCTTGTATTTTCTGACTAAATCTTACCTGGACTGACGGGGAGTCTCTGCCTGCGCTGAGAACTAGCGGTGTGAGCGAGGGGTTTCTTTGCTGCAGAAGGTGTAATGCTCTGCTGCTGTTGGAACTTTACTCATGGACCTTCTGGTTTAGAACTGCTCCAGAGATGTTTTAGTGCTGCCAGTGATGAGGTTGCATTGGTTTGAAATTGGAGACATTTTAGTGGATCCTGGTCAGGCAGATTTTAATTACACACTGGGAGGGGCTTGTGGGGTTTTTGTTTTGTTTTTTAATTTTTTTTTCGTACAGTCATTGAGAATCGAGTGGGCCTCTCAGTCTGATAATAAAAATATAACTTCTCTGGGGGGTTTTTTTTTGAGCTCACTGAAGATCACTTCCCAAATTCTGCTCTTTTCTGTAATTCTGTAGTATTTCTCAAACGCAGTGGTGAAACTTTTATTTTCTTCCTGTGACTCCTAACCCGTAAGGATGAACGTGCACTGTTGGGCTGTAATTAAACATTCTCCTCCCCAGTCATAAGGGAAAAGTGGTACAGTGTTGTTTTCATGAAACCCTGAGTTGTGAGTAACCTCTTTGGCCCAAGGGTCTGGTTTGATCTGTTTACAAACATCTGCCTGGTTCTCTTTGAATTCAGAGTTGTGGTTGGAACAACCAACTTAAACAAGGACCGATCAGTTTCATGAATCAGAATAGGGTAGAAGAGTTTCTTTTTTGTCAGCTGTTTGTTTTCATGAGCTGGTACTTGCATCTACTTTGAACAAAGCTGAAGGTAGGGATATAATTTTGGAGTATCTAGTATCAAGAAATGAAAACTCTTCTAGAATTGTGTGCTCTTCTTCCTCAGACACACTTAGGAGAAAGCACTGTGCTTCTGGAGATTTGTACTTGTAAATCTCACGAGCTGTGTCTTTGCAGGGAGTCAGGATCCATTAATACCCCAAGTCTTCTGCTTTTTCTCTCATTTAGGAGAATAAGGACCAGTACCCTCCTTTTCAGTTGCTAAGGTTAGGCTGGAGTTTTTGTTCATCGTTCTTTTCAGCCCAGGGCACACGGATGGGAGGAATCCTGTGCATTTCTGTTGTCTTTAATTGGATAAAAGTGAAACTCTCATCCACACTGTGTCTTGTTGTGCAAGGAGGCGTTTCAAGCCCAATCTCACCTTACAGAGCTCCTTTGCAGAGGAATTTAAAAAATGTTGGAATGTCTTGGGAGTGGAGACATGGACAGGACACAGGGGAAGCAGAGAAGTGGGGTGTGTTTGTTGGTTTTTTGTATAATAAACCATTGGAGTGAATTGGGAGTTCTTCCTTAATCTGTTTTTACTTTGCTCTGAAGGGAGAGGGGGGAGGAAACAACACATTTTTGGTTAAATTCCAGTTGGCCTGTTTTTCTCTAGGGAGCATGGAGTGGCTGGTGGAGGAGTGCACTAGTGAATATTTTGGTGCTTGTAACTTGTGTCCTTAGTATTAAGTGTAAAAACATGTTTAGAAAATTGTACCAGACTACATGTCATGTAGCTTAAATTTTGGGTTCGCTTATATTCTGTGACAGCAAAAAGTAAATGAAAACCCAAAAAAGCTCTACCAACAACAAAAACTCAAAAATCCCCTCTAGTGCTTTTTTTTTTTTTCCTGTTTTCCTTCTGAGTGAAGAGAGTTTATTTTTGTCCCCACTATTTCCCAGGGGACTGCACTGTAGAGGCTTTCATCTGCGTGCTCAGTTTCTTAACTGTGGCTTTTTGTCAAAATTCAAATAATGCCCCGAGTTTTAAATGCAACAAACTTGTACCCATTAATTTTACTGATGTTAAGGTTTTGGTCAGGAGAGTTCTGATGGGTGTGTGAACTGAGAGGTTGGCTTTGTGAGTATTGCTGGTGTTACTCTTAAAAACCTTTCCAACAGGAGGTGAAGATTGTGTTTATTTAGACTCTTACTGTGTCATCAGGTGATATTTTCATGTTCAAATAACTGTAGAGATAGTGCAAAATAAACATTTTTCATAGGTGCTGTGCTTGTAGAACTGGGTTCATTCTAGCTAGGGTTAAAGATGATATAAATTATTAATGCTTACTTTAAGACCAGGTTTTTGACAACATGAAAAATAAAAAGCTGGCCTGTGTCTTGACAAAAGGTTGAGTGAAAGTGATTATTAAATCTGCTCGTGTTTTGTTCTTTTTGCTGTTACTCCCAAGTGTTGTTTGCTTAGGGACATTTTTTTTTAGTTATTTTTGGAAAAGTAATAGACTCGAATTATTGAAATTCATACTGTCTGCAAATTGACTTATAAAGAAAGCCTGATCTGCTACAATTTATTTTGTGGAAAATCTACAGATGAGCTTTCACGGTTCATTGGCTTCTTGGAAAGCTGAGTTTGTGGCCATGTGCTGTCATTGCAGGCCCAGACTGAAAGGATTTTAGTAGGTGCTCAACTTTGAAATCCTTCAGTGTACTAAAAAGACCTGAGATAAAACAAAAAAAAAAAATCTATCATTGATCTTCAAGATCTGTTTCTAAAAAATCTCTATGATTTGTTCCATCTTTACCATGCTTCCACTAGAAGTTTGAAGGGTACAGCTTCTCTGAAGAAATCTTTCCACAGTGTCTTTTAAGTGGAGATAAATATCGTTACCAGGAAAAGGGAAAAAAAAAACCCAACCCAACAACAAGCCACAAAACAGCATGTAAAATTGGAACACAAGAGCACAGGGTTTTGAAGCTTCCTGAATTTTTAACTACTAGCAAATTGCCTTAAATTTAACTTGGATTAATTCCCTAGTGATCCTTGACATTAAACGGATGTTCTGGTTTGACATGGGTAGACAGAAAACTAATTAATTCCTCTGAATTTGAGGCATATTTAATTTTCTCCCCCAAAGACCTCTCATTTAAAAGGTACAATGCTGTGACAAATGTTCAGTGTGGAATGATGTGCGTGAGGTAGCAGACAGAAGACCTTTAGACAGAAGGAGATCAAGACATCTACAGTAATAATTGCTGGTTTGGAAGATGTTCAGTTTTATTGATTAGGGAGTATCCACGTCGTTGCATTCCTGACAGTGCCCACCTGGCAGTGCAGAGGCTGCTGCTCCTCGGTGGGCACCTTCCCCATTCATCTCTCTGTCTCTTTACACCTAAAGTACTTTGGAACAAGGACAAATTGTCTTCCCTTTGTGTTTTTTTTTATATTGTTATTGTTTTTACTTGTTTTCTTATATTCATCATATTTTAGAACGTCAGGATTTTTGCTTGTCCAAAAGGTACCCATCCACCCTCTGCTGTTGTTCCCAGTGTCCTTGGAAATGTGGGCAAGTAAGATCCAAGGATGTATGATCTCTCTGTCACAACACGCTTTGGTTCATCCATGGCTTGCCTGGAGGGTGTCTTCTGTCAAGAGCTTGGTGGGTGGGAGGGGGGGAGGCCGGTAAGGAATCTTGCACAGATTTTTTTTGAGTGTTATGTGTGTGTGTGTGTGTGTGTGTTGAGTAAAAAAAAAACAAACCCTTGATAGGAACTAAAGTCAGGGAAAAGCTGTTTCCTAAAGACACTAGCAAGTGCTTCATCTGTAAGATGCACCAGATTAGTCAATGCCAGAACCTCAAACTGGTCCAGTCTAAATCAAAGGTAGCAAGAGAGAAATATTTTAATCTGGGTTTCTGCCATAGGCAGCTTAAACAAAGGCCAAGGTGTATCTAAAATAGCCTGTTATCACCAGTGAGGGGGGGCCCAACCCGCTGAATAAATATATAAAATAGTAAAGAAATAAAATCTCAAAGAATCAGTGTAATTTCCAGGTGAAAAACATGCCAGAAGAGAAGCTGCTGTTGCATCAATTCACAGAAGCAGGTGAAGACATTGACAAATACTCCTGATGCTAATCTTTATTAACCTGAGGAGGAGAAAGTTATCCCTGCAGGAGTGTTGTGGGGTTTGGTTTGGTTTGGTTGTTTTTTTTCCCCAACCAATTCCAGGGAGTTGATGTCTTGGAATATTCATTTTGATACCTGTGAAGGAAACAGCAAATGGAAATGCCGTATGTGAAACCTTCTGATCGCTTTGGAGTTGTGTGCTGTGAGGTCTCCCTCCGAGTCACGTGGGTATGGCAGCTGCTGAGGACAGGATGGGTGATGGACAACTCACTTTATCCGATGTGGCAATTCATATTTCCTGAGGGGACGAAGCTGACTCTTCAGCTCCTAAAAGTAGATGCACTAGTGGTTTCTGGAATAAAGACAAAACTGAACTGTCATTCTGCCTTAAGAGGCGGTTCTCTCAAACATGAAGATGTTGGGAAGCGGTGGCAGCACCTTCAGAGCCTGGGTTAGAGCTGCTGTGCTGGCTGGTTCCAGCACAACCTTTTCAGGGCAAACACAAGAAAAATAAATTTTTGAATTTTTTTTTTTTTTAACCCTTACTCCCTGACTCTGATTCTTGGCTTGATTTTTATTTATTGATTTCATTTTTTGAGATGGCTTCTCTGTGAGAATTTGATTTGAGGCAGATTTCAGTGGTAAGTAGGTCGTGTTGTTCAGACAGTGTAGAGCTGCACTATCACTGACCTCTTCCAGTTCAAATTGAGAAAAAAATAATCATAGAATCATAGAAGGTTGTGAGTTGGACCCAAAAGGATGATGGAGTCCAACTCCTGTCCCTGCACAGGACAATCCCAACATTCAGACCATGTCCCTGAGGGCCTTGGCCAAATGCTGCTGGAATCTTGTCAGGCTTGGTGCCATGAGCACCTCCCTGGGGAGCCTGTTCCAGTGCTCCACCACCCTCTGCCTCAAGAACCTTTTCCTCATGGCCAGCCTCACCCTCCCCTGCCACATCTTCCTGCCATGTCCTCTGCTCCTGGCATTCGTTGGTGGCCAGAGAGAAGAGATCAGTGCCTGCCCCTCCTCTTCCCCTTGGGAGGAAGTTCTAGACCCCCATGAGATCTCCTCTCAGTCTCCTCTTCAGGAGATATTGTTCAGGAGAAATATGAGCTTCTTCATGTGTTCTGTGCTGATTTCTGTAGAAAAGCTGCATGGATTTGAAACACATAAACACGAGTTCAGCCAGTTTGTGTTGCAGGAAGATGGTCCTTCCTCTCTTGAGGGGAAGCAAATGCTTCTCAACGATCAGGGACCAGCTGGTCCTGCACATTAGTGTTTCTGACACTGCTGAAGAGACAGCTCTGTGGAACTGGAGAAGCTCACGCTGGCAATCTTGCATAACCTGAACTTTTGAATCATCAGGTGGCTCTCTAGAAGAAAGATTTTTGCATCATGTATGTTCTGTGGGCTGAGAGGTTGTTTTCTACCCAACGCTGTCAGCTAAACAGAAGCTATTTTACTCCTGAAGATGATAATAATAGCACAGCCGAGGGGAAGGGGGGCAGAGGTCTTTGGGATCCGTATTCCACAGCACGGGAAACCCACTCGCACGCGGCAGGTTTGTTCAGCACGGCTGTCCTCGGGCTGCCCGCTGATTCCAACAGATGGGACTGAGAGTGCCTCTGAACTCGATGTACGTTAGAAAGCTGCTCTGAGCTGGCGTCAGCCTCCTTCCTGACAGCGCTTTTATATTTAACCATGCACACTTCATGGCCATCAGACCTCGCAAGTGCACTGATTTTGGGGTTTTTTCCAGCAACCACCACTAACCTAAATCCAGGCTTCTGATGTGTGTGCCTGACCATGAGTACAGCTGGAATTTGGTCTTCTCAGCACATCCTGGTTTTACAGTTGTGTGTTGAGATGTGGACCCACAGACCTGTTTTACAGTTGGAACTTCTCATATCAGAACAGATTTAAGTTTTGGAGAGAAAGGAGTAGATATCTTCACGTTGTGTGGCAGCTTGGCACTCTTCATTAGTTGGACCATTAAACCACTGTTACACGGTCTATAAATCTTGATGGTAACTTCCAAAGAAGTGGTATAAACTAGATAAAAGGGCAGAAATTACCAAGGGATTTGTAAAACTGTGGAAGCAATATATGTATATATGAGCTTGTCTGTGCTGATGAATTACTCCTCTCATATTTGTACTTTGCAAGTGGGATAAAATTCAATCTGAAAATATTAGCACCACTGATTACTGTCAGTGTATCCACATTTAAGTCCTTTTTCCCTGTTTTGGGATGTAAGAGGAGGATAACACTTCCCTGGAGGTGTTGAAGGCCAGGTTGGATGAGGCTTTGAGCAACCTGGTCTAGTGGAAGATGTCCCTGCTGATGGCAGGGGGGTTGGAACTGGATGAGCTTTAAGGTCCCTTCCAATCCAAACCAGTCTGGGATTCTGTGATTCTGTAATTCTGGGCATAATTTACAAAATATGGGTCTTTGCTGGCACTAATGAGGGTTTTTTTGGGATATACTGGCAAATTTTCTGAAAGGTGATCAAAAGTCTTGTGAATTCTCATCAGCCTGGTGAATGCTTTGTTGTTTTGGTCATAAGCATCCTTTCTAAACGTGTTTAGGTGATTACTAGAATTTCTCTACCCAGTATCTTAGGATGATTGTGGGTTAAACTTTGAGATGTAAAGCCAAGCAACTAAAACATTTTATAGTGAAGTTAAAAATCTTGTGCTTATAAGTAGTTAAATTTCAAATAACATTAATTTCATAGTTTCGTGTGGGTGGGGACTTAAAATTTTGTGATCCGTGGTCTTGGATTTGCCTATTGCTCTTCTGACTTGAAAACAGTATTTACAGCCCCTCACCAGCAATACAGCGAGGAAATCACTGGTTTCAATTGGCTTTTGGTGTTGGAGGATTTCAGCTACTCAGTGTGCTACACATAATGCTTGTTCCCTGGAGGAAATTGTGTTACACAGTGCTCTTCAACAGTTTGTCTCCGTCAGCCTGGTTTCAAGTGTGGTACCTCTTTCAAAACCAAACTTCACCGAACCCAAACAGTAAAAACCATCAGCTGTTTTACCCCAGTAACTTAAGACAGGTTTTCTTACAAGTCTGTCGTAATTGAAATAAATGTTTCTCTGGGATGTTATGAGCCACTGGAGGATTGAGCTTCAAGTCTAGTCCCTTTTAACATAAATTATTTGAAGTCTGGTAAAAATAAGCTGCGTGGTGTAATGAATGTGCCGTCTTTCTAGGCGGTAGTTGTGTTTTGTGGCAGTTTTTTTTTTCAAGCTGAACCTGTTACTTAATTTGGTACAACTTGGGGTTTGTCTCAGTCCTTGAGAAACGAGTCTGTGAGCTTGTATTGGATTTTGTAATACTGTCGTTTCCTTCCTCATACAGGACTTGTGGAAGAGGAAACACAAAGATTTCCAAATGAATAACCGAAAGGAAGATATGGAGATTGCTTCCCACTACCGTCACCTGCTGCGTGAGCTTAACGAGCAGAGGCAGCACGGCATCCTCTGCGACGTCTGCATCATCGTGGAGGGGAAGATCTTCAAGGCTCACAAAAACGTTCTGCTTGGGAGTAGTCGCTACTTCAAAACACTGTACTGCCAGGTACAGAAAACCTCTGACCAGGCCACAGTCACCCATTTAGACATCGTCACCGCACAAGGCTTCAAAGCAATCATTGACTTCATGTATTCTGCCCACCTAGCGCTGACCAGCCGGAACGTCATCGAGGTGATGTCAGCTGCTAGCTATCTGCAAATGACAGATATTGTACAAGCCTGTCACAATTTCATAAAAGCAGCTCTGGACATAAGCATAAAGTCTGATGCCTCGGATGACCTTGTTGATTATGAATTTGGAGCCCCTTCCAGCAGCAGTACGGACGCTTTGATTTCAGCGGTCGTGGCTGGCAGGAGTATATCTCCCTGGTTAGCTCGGCGAACTAGTCCAGCAAACTCTTCTGGAGATTCAGCTATTGCCAGCTGCCACGAAGGAGGGAGTAGTTATGGAAAAGAGGATCAAGAACCAAAAACAGACAACCACGAAGACATTTCATCCCAGTCTCTTTGGTCTAGTGACATGGGCTATGGGTCGTTACGGATCAAAGAGGAACAGGTTTCACCATCGCATTACGGAGGGAGTGAACTGCATTCTGCCAAGGATAGTGCAATACAGAACACGTTCTCAGAACAAGGAGTGGGGGATGGCTGGCAACCCACTGGGCGCAGGAAGAACCGGAAGAATAAAGAAACTGTGCGCCATATTACGCAGCAAGTGGAGGATGACAGCAGGGCCAGTTCTCCAATGCCCTCTTTCTTACCTGCTTCAGGATGGCCGTACAGCAGTCGAGACCCAAGTAAGGAATTCTTCTGATTTTTCTGGTTGAAATTAAAAATGTTAATTAGATCTTGTTGCAGTATGATTTTATCAGTCTCTGAGATACATCAGCTTGCCAGAAACTGAAAAATGTAGAAACTCGTGTTGCCAGTGATTCAGAAGAACCGAGCGTTGGTCCTCAGTGTCACAGCCATGCAGGTTCTGCTGGTTCTCCTGCAAAAGAAGGTGGTAGTTTTGTTTTGGCCTCGTGCATAGAACGGCCTAAATTCCCCCCAAAACACCATTATAATTGTTGGAATTAATGAGAGAAAAGGTTGGAATTTATTTTAGCAGGTGTGCAAACTGATGTCAAGGTTGAAGAATTTTCCTTGCACGGTATATTGATGATGTAATTACACCACACACAGGTGTAATTTAGTCTTAACGATAACTATCTCCAGCACTTCCTGATATTCAGGTGTCACTTTCTCACGTGGAAGAAAACCACCAGAGCCTGTTGCTGGTAGTGGCGAGAGAAGTGTTTGTCAACTCTTAGTACCTCTGTGGTTTTTTTTGAGGTACTAATAAGACTTAAAATGTATTTTGATCTCTGACTCCTTGTAGTCTGAGATGAGTGGCTGCTTTTAAAGTGGATAGGCAGGGAGAAAAATGTTTCCTTGCCTTCTTTTGAATCTTTGGTAGTTATTTTTCTGTTTCAAGATAGCTGTGCTATTTGATTCATTAATCGATAGCAATTAATAGATTGAGGAATGCTACTGATGCAGGAGTTTGGATGTTTTTTCCTGAAGATTTTAAGGGAGTGTGGTATTAAATTCCCTCGAGCTGACTTGAAGAACTTAGTCTGTGCTGTCAGTTAGCCTGTGTTTCACTGCATACCAGAATCCAAGTCAGCCAGGAGAAGGGTGTGTGAGATTCTATATCCTTATGTTGCCAAATTCAGATGAAAAAAGCCATATAAATAGTACTGAAAGTCTGAAGAGTTCTTTATGGGCTGAAAAAGGATGTTTAGATTGCTTGCATACTGAAGTTTAAACGTGGTTTTCATTGAGTGGGTAACTGTCTACAAATGTCTTTAGATTTATTATGTTTTACAGTTATCTGCCGAAGCAAGCTTGCATGTAATTATTCTAATTGGCTGATGATAAAATCTAAACAACGTCAGTTAGAAGAAAAATGTGAGATAACTTAAGATAACAGTGATTTATGATGAACCCTATTTTTATAGTGCATATATTCCAGGAGTGTTTTGAATGCAGATTCAGCACGGATAGCCTGGAATGCTATTCACACACAAATATCTTTCATTTTCGTGGCATCCTGTAAAAACAACCCACTCACTTGTACTGTCTGTGAGGTGTGTGGGGCTTGGACAGGTACATGAAGCAAATCACTCGTGTTGGGGTGGCTGCAGAAACAGAACTGCAGCTCCCATTGTCTTCGCAGCCTGGTTATAGATTGAATGTCTTTAAGTGACTGGAAAGAGGACAAATGTAAGAGATTGTATTTCTAGAAGCTGAATGATGGCTGGATTACTTAATTCCTAGTTGTTAAGGAATTAAGTGGCCTTTTTCTTTACACCTGTTGGCAGGTGAGAGGAAGGTGGCTTTGGGTGTTGACTCAGCGCGGTGCTGAGAGTGCGTCAGCAGACGCAGTCAAATGATCTGTTCCAAATCTTGTCTCAAATGCAGTTTCCAATAAAAGAGGCGTTTCCAGTGATGGGAAAGGGGAAGCAGAGTGCTGGTAAAACTAAAGGAAAAGCTGAATAGCAGCACTCCTCGCTGTCCAAAATCAGAGGAGTGCCAGGAGGTGCAGGGGCTGTGTGTGTTGGCAGGGGCCAGCCGTGGTGGCTGCTCTGAGAGCGATGCTTGCAGAGGAAAAGTAACCTCACTGAGCAAGGGGAGTGTTTGGAGACCGAGCTGCTCCTGGTGTCCCCATGTTGGCCATCTGGAGAGGTGAGCAGAGATTAAATTCTCCTTTCTGCCCTGCTGGGAAGGGAGGTTTCTCTGTGCTGTGGGGCTGGAGCTCATGGGATGGGTGCTTCTCTGCATGTTACGGGGAAACACACAGGATGTATTTGGATCAGATTTTCTTGTCTTTGGAGGATTTTTTTGGTATGATTTCAGGGGATTTGAGATCTGTTTCAGTTAATGCTTGGACATCTCATCAGCAGCACACCTCTCACCTGCTTGTGTCCGTAGATGTGTGGTTTGGGTGAAATCTGAGTTGGTTGCTCAGGTGAGATTGCTCTTTCACTGTGAAGTGACAGCATCCCTGCTACCCCAAACTGTCACTACCCTGGTCCCTACAAGCAGTAGGGTCTTTTGGTCTCACATTAATGTTGACCATCTCCAGCAGGTGGAAACAACTCCCCTGTGAACTGCTCCATCTCCCAAGCTCCAGGGTTCTGTGTAGGTTTATCATTGGTACCCCAGGTTCTTTGGGGAGCAGTCGAGGTGCGTTGTGAACTCAGCTCTTAGCATGAAGAAAAACTTATTCTTGTGTGAAAGCAGATAATGGCAAGTGTCTGCACTGCATAGTGAGTGTTTAGGATGTATTTAAATTTCAGCTTGAAGTTTTCTTTGATTTAGTAGCATCAGGCTTCCTTCTTTAAAACAGATTTCATAGTCTAGGGCTCTTTTTTTTTTACCTCATTTATTTAGAAGTGTCCCTGTGTTGTTCATGGCTGAGATGAAAAGGTTCTGCTTTGCTGAGGAAATGGGTGTTGAGTGTTCTTTCTTAAGTAGCTAAGAGGAAAAAAGTTACCTAGAACTCTTTGTTCTTTGAGGCTCATTCATTTTTCTGATCTATTCAGTTATTTTAAGATGCTGCTTGTTCAGCCTCAAAGCCCTCATTGTGGGATAATTTGGGTTCCATTTGCAAATGTTTCTGTACTGGAGGACTAACACATGTTCTTACCAATACAGGCAGAGTGTACTCCAGTGTCCCCAATACAGCAGACTCTACTTAAATAGGGTGCAGTGGGGCCTCAAAAAAAACACAGGGGAGGTTTGGGGTTTTTGTTTGGGTTTTTTTTTAATTGAAAGGATAAGAAAATTCTTTCTGAATCAATTGATTTGTTTCCAGATGCTGGTGGGGTGCTGCTTGAGAGCCTTTGAATTCAGCCACACTATGTATTAAAATAAAAAGGGGCATCTGGAGTAATCTTATTAATGGTCATCTAACATCATGGAAATAGCCAAGATTCTTAACGTTTGCCATGAGGAGTGCATCTTCTTCCTCCAAGAAAGAATGATCAAATAAGATCTGCAAAAGAATCCAAACTAAGTTGAGATGCTGGACTGAGAATGTGATTAAGCTCTTGGTTTATACGGGGTGGTGTCAGTCAAGCACAGAGCTTGATGAGGACAATCTTTTCATGTTAATTTCAATTTATTACTTTTGATTCTCTGTTTAGTATAAAACACATTAGATTTTTTTCTTTCTCATCCTGTTTGGGTTGTTCAGGATGTCATTCTGTCATTCCTTGTAGGAAACATTCATATAGATGTTTTCCTCACCAAGCCACATTAACTTGGAACAGCAATTCTCCAAAGTAAACTGAAGGATGGGCTTTTATAAATAATAACTTACTTCATAACTGAGCCAAGAAGAATTTCCTCCACAGACTTGCCAAAATAATGGGTCTGCCTTTTATTTTAACCTTTTTTCTTGAACTTAGTAGGTTTTTATAAAGAAACATATTGCTGTTTGTTAGCTTTAATATCAGAGACGCTTGTGCAGTAGTCTTGTGCCTTGAGCATCTTCATTTTCGTTAGGTTGCTGTTCCTCTAACATTGCTGGATAAAGTTTTTACAGGATTACACGTCCTGAGTGCCTGGACTGTGGGATTGGGTGGTGTTAAAAATGTTCCTGCCAAAGAGGACAGTTATCTTGACTAGAAGAGCTGCTAAGCTAGCAAAACGTTGCTGGTTTTGCCTCTTCATATAATGGAAACCTCTGTCACGTGGGGAGTGTCTTTGGAAGAATTTATTGCTGGTTTTATTAATGTGTTAGTTCAAACATAGTAGTTATGATTCAGGAATTTATTTCTAAGGAAATACTCCCACACATCTTCTGAGTGTTTGCACCCTAAAGCGGCGATTGGATTTTTGTGTGCCAATTGGCTGTGAAATGAAGCTAATTATTCTCAAACAGAACAGTCATTTTAAAAGATGCTACAGTTTGGGAACTTTTGGCCTTTATTTTGGTTACATGTAATGAAATGGTTGTATTCTGTAAGAAGAGCTTCAGGACTTCAGTAAGCCCAGAGTAGTGACCTTCATGAGAGACAGGACTTCACTTTGCAGAGTTCCAAGTTCCTTTAATATTTTCCCATCCAAAGCTTTAATTATGCACAAGTTTCCTCCCTGGTGGTGGTGAGATGTTCATTGTTTTCCAGTGACACAATCTGATTTCAGTGCCTGCTGCAGGGAGTTGTGCTGCTGGCTCTCTGTGAAGGCTGGAGGCAGCTGGTGTCGTCAGCATTTTCCTATCCCTTCTTCTCTCTTGGTTTCTAGAGAGCAAATGACGATTACAGGAGTTATTGGCCAGCGCAGAGGCTTAGCAGTTGGGTCATATAGTGAGCTTACATTTCAGAAGGCTTCAGAAGGAGGTGAGAACACTGTCTAGGTGAACTCTCAGCTAACTTGGTGCAGCTGAGGTCTCTGGACCTGTCTGAGTACAGGTAGGTGAATGTGTAGATTGTCTTATAGGATGATTTTATTCTTGCACAAAAAGCCTTTTTCTCAACAACCACCCAGCTTCCTGGAACTCTTTCACCTCTTCAATGCAAACCTTCAAATCTTTCCTTCATTTTTTTTATAGTTATTATTTAAAAAAAACCCAAACCATTGTTTCTCTTGTGATATTAGTCCAAGTAGTGGAACAGAGGTCTTGCATCATGAGGAGAGGAAAAAATTGAGCGTGGTGTTTGTATTCAGGATTCAGGTGTTCAAGGAATTCTTTTAAAAAAGATTTTTGTTCTGCAAAACCTGTATAATACTTCTGGCTTTACATGCT